TCTTTATACATTCCGGATAATCCCATTTCACAGCCGGAATAAACATAATGCTTTTGAAATATACGTTAACATATCATCAGGAACGTTCTATAGAATAAGTAAACAAAAAAGTTTATTCCAAACGCGATGAGCAATTTCCAAACAGTATCGTAGTTAGTCTCAGTCAAAGACATTTGATGCAGGTCGATATCATGATCAGCTGGAAGAGCCTTTTTTAGGTAATGAAATTTTTGTATTTCATTTAAGTCAGAATTAGTGTGAATTAATCTGTTATATGCATTATAGAATGACGGCCAGTCGGTGAATTTACCAGAGAACGTTGGAATGGGCAAATTTGGCATAGAAATCGAAGACATGCTATGTGTGGGAGGGTCGGGGGGCATAGGTGCGTTGGGTTTTAAAGGAAACAACTCGTCCTGGCGATCTGATATTTCACAGTATATGTCCTGGTATGTTTCATCAAATGCTGAATACACTTCAGTGGAGAGGTACGTGTGGTTAGAATCGATACGGGCGTGCGTCTCCTGAAAATCTGCTTGGAGCTGCTCGAGTCTCTTCAACCGTTGTGCAAAGTACGTTTTTGTTTTACGAGCTGTGCTGTCCTTTCGAAAATTGGTGAGCAGCTTCTTTAGCTCGTCTACGCGATTAACCTGTACCCTAATGAGGTCTTCGCTGGGCATCTTGTTGCCTCTGTGATAACCTCAATAAGTTGAACAACCAAACGAAATTGCACCCACTCATCTTATTCTTTTCTTTGCCCCCTTAACTGTCCGGGCACTGCTGCGTTTTATATATGTATATCGGCTAACGGTCGCTGCGAATACTGCCAGGTTTACTGATTGTTGGATGCTTTCTTGTCGTCAACTGGAATTGAAGAGTTCCCCTCATGGGCCACCAAATGATTGTGCAAGTCTGTGCAATGACGAATTAAGTTAAATTCGGGGGTTCAATTCAAATCCATTTATTAGACAAATTGTACATAAAGTAGCGAGACGACAAAAATCCGTATATTTGACAAGAACTAAACTTGTTGACAATAATATCAGCGCTGAGCTGGCGAGAAAACCAAACCCAAAAAAAGAAAAACAAACAGTTTCTTGATTGACCGCTAATCGTCGATTCTGCTGAGCGGTAGAGAAAAGCGAATAAAATTACTTAAAGAATAATAGGGAAAGGAATTGTAATGACAGGTGTGCTGTTGTTGTTCGATGTTGAGAGAGCCAGCGTTTCCGAAACTGTCCATAGGGTTAGAATTGTAACATATTATTTGATGATTTGTAGGGTTGCAATTTTATAATTCTTTTATGCCTCACAGTGTCTGAATATCCTTCTATTTTAATTCGGCCGTAAATTAAATTAAATCCCGGGATCCCGAGGGCTTGATCCCGGGACTAAAAAAAAAGGGCTCGGGACTCCCGAATTCTGGGAATAGATGCCTTAATACGCATACATTCTTAAGTACATAGCTGTTAGACGTGGCAAGTACGATTCCTTTTCAAAACTATATCAAACTCAAGAAATTCCAAAAGTGATTGCAGGAGAAGTTTCGAAAATCAAACTTTCCGATACTACTTTTTGTTTGTTCACAGGATGAATGCAGAGAATTGTACTTTTAACTACTTATGTTACCAGACATTTTTATGTTTATTATAAAATTGCAGATCTGAAAAACTTGTTAGAAATGCTAAAATGCGGACAAACACAGCCACAAAATGTCTAATGCTTTAATATTTAAATTAGTGTTGGGCAGTATCGATTCCAAAA